AGGACTCCATCTCCCGTCGTGCCCCGCGCCAGAGAGCTCACCCCCTCCCTCCCCCTCCCACCTCGGCCCCGCCCGCTTCGGGTCCCGCCGGCGGCCTGTGCTGATTCACCGGGAGCGGCCCCGGGTGGGCCCGGCTCGGTACCCGAGTGGGGACACGGGCCCGCCGCGCCACCCACGGGTCCGGGCACACATTCACGGCCTGGGATGGGCACACGCAGGGTTCCAGCGCCATGCATGGCTTAGGGCCAGGGCACGGCCTGGACCCACACACAGCCCCCACCCACTCGTGGCCTAGGCCCACAGACAAGGCAGACCCACTCACAAACCAAGCCTACTCATGGCCCGGACCCACTGAGACCCTGGACCCACTGAGAGCCTGGACCCACACACAACCCAGACCCCATAAGCCCAGCCCAACCCAGCCCAGACCCACTCACAATCCAGACCCACACACAACCTGGACCTGGACCCACTCACGACCCAGACCCAAAGACAGCCTGGACCTGGACCCACTCACTGCTCAGACCCATTCACAACCCAGACCCACACACAGCCAGGACTTGGACCCACTCACAACCCAGACCCAAACACAGCCTGGACCCAGACCCACTCGCAACCTGGACCCACTCACGACCCAGACCCACACACAGCGAGGACTTGGACCCACTCACAACCCAGACCCACACATAGCCTGGACCTGGACCCACTCGCTGCACAGACCCACCCACAGCCTGGACCTGGACCCACTCGCTGCACAGACCCACCCACAGCCTGGACCTGGACCCACTCGCTGCACAGACCCACCCACAGCCTGGACCTGGACCCACTCGCTGCACAGACCCACCCACAGCCTGGACCTGGACCCACTCACGACCCAGACCCACACACAGCCAGGACCCAGACCCACTCAGTGCTCAGATCCACTCACAACCCAGACCCACACATAGCCTGGACCTGGACCCACTCGCTGCACAGACCCAACCACAGCCTGGACCTGGACCCAGTCACTGCTCAGACCCACTCGCAACCCAGACCCACACACAACCTGGACCTGGATCCACTCATGATCCAGACCAACACACAGCCAGGACCCAGACCCACTCAGTGCTCAGACCCACTCACAACCCAGACCCACACACAGCCTGGACCCGGATCCACTCGCAACCTGGACCCACTCACAACCCAAACCAACACACAGCCAGGACTTGGACCCACTCACAGCTCAGACCCACTCACTGGTCAGACCCACTCACAACCCAGACCCACACACAACCTGGACCCAGACCCACTCTCAACCTGGACCCACTCACAACCCAGGAGCGGGCGGCTCCCGGCGCTGCTGCGGCTGAGGCGACGGCTGCACCCGGTGCTGTGCGCGCGCCGCGGGCCACCACAACCCCCCTGCGCCCCGCT